GAGATCTTTATTACAATTAAAAAGTAACAAATCAAAATTACATTAATAACACAGACAGAGAATACATGAGGAGAACAATAAATAATAATTCAGTAACAATATATAATACGTTAATTATTATTTGAATCATGTACTCTTCGTTTTTACAATTATTATTTTATTATTATAATCAAAATCAATATCGCGACTGTATATTATGAACAGTAACTTACCTAAAAAATAAAATTTAATTTTTCTAATCAAATAAAATGATATTGCCAAAGGATACTTCTAACCTCCGGTGGAGGGTAAATAATGCCCACGATCGGCTGAGATGAAGGTGCATTATTTTCTTCATTCTCGGTTGCCGGAGGCTGTAGAATAGCAATTTCTTGCGCTGGCATGTTGCCTAATGTTTTTCTGTTCACTTAATTTTTATAGATTTGTTAATATTTCTCATCACTCACTATACACATATCACTTTGTAAACGTAACATGACGATACCATTTTGCATTTCCTTTCTCTGTATATATGACTCCATAAAGCCGCCTTTCCATTAATGTAGGAAAATGTACTCAGTGCAATCAATAATGTAACGAGAAAATATAAAATGTTCCTAGATGAGCTTTAGAAATTTGAACAAATCTTTTTAAATACGTACAATTATAACATAACTGTAATTTCAACGAATTGATATCGTAACAGTTACAAAGGTAATTAAAACACTTGTGTATGTGTTCAAGATTTTTTTTTGTTTTTATTTATTATTCATTTCTTTATAAGGAACATTAAAATTATACATGTATTACTAAATAAAAAAAAACATTATAATAAACGGTTTAATATATACAAAGTAAAGTTAAAGTAAAATAAATAACACTTTATATATGGAATACCAGTTATATAATTTTTATGTAAAATATCTAAAATGATGCTAACATTATTATTTGTAGTCTAATATTGTCTCTATTGACTGAGGTCTTTGACATATTTTCCCACTGTTTCATAGAGTTTTATAGCACCATTAGTAGTATGTGTAGGTAAATTTGATATGAATTCCATGGTATTTATAACTCCTTTATTCCAAGATGTTTTCATGAAAGTTGAAATATGTATCACACTTGGTAGTTCAGAAAGCTAAACAATGTTAATATGAATTAGATACAATATTAAACAACTAACATTTCATAAATTACATAAACATATAAAAATAAAAAGTTTACAGTAACTATTTAAAATTTTAACGAAAAATTGGAATAGACAATTAAATATTAAGATACACTAACTTTAATATTTTAATATTACGAAATAAAGTAATGATTAAAGTATTTAAATACAAAGTTAAATACAAAACCACCTCCTGTGTAACTTCCTTGGGTATATTCTCCTTAACATATGGAGCAACATTGACATATATTTTTTTATATAATTTAGCTGTTTCTTCTCCATTTGACCACAAACCCTCTTCGTAAGTGTAATATACGATACCACCAACAATAGTGGATTTTATGGTAAACCTGGAAATATAACCTTCAACTTAAATTTCAAATTACTTACGTAGATACAATAGCATGCAAATACCATAACTGAATTCCATCCTTAGTGTTTAAAACACGTACTAACCGAAGTAAACTCATTGTACAATGTAAATTACTTTCACGTGATTGCTTTTGTTTCTTCTTCGTTTGTTATACAAAAATATAAAAATTACGTAAAACTCTTAGTAACTTCCGGTTTGATTCAAGATATATACAAATAATTTCTGTATTGTTTAATTCATACATACATATGAGGCAAACATTTACATAAATATTTAAAAACATTTTTATAACTGTGTAGAGTATTTTATATCTGAGAACTACAAATATTAAATTTATGCAAAATTATCATGACTTACATAGTGTTTGTACATGTATACACGATGTACACAAGGCTCAAAAGGGTGCTTATTTAATAACCGTTCCTTTTTTTTAATTTATTTGACATTTTTGCAATTTTTATACATATTTGTGCAGATGATATACAATTATAAATTCTGCTGTTTATTTTTTATCAAAAATGATAGAGAACTGAGGTCTATTGCAATATAGAAATGTCAATTTAACTTAGCTTAAAAGTTATTTTGTACATATTTAGTGCTATATGATGTGGCCTCAGGAATACGTAGAATTGAAGGTAATAATACCTACAGAGTTCATTTATTTGTAATATAAAAGGAAATGCATCGAGCAACTTTTTTTACAGCATATAGAAGATTTATTAGTCTGTGGGATATGCTATGAATTTATGGATACTTCTGTTATAACATCATGTTCTCATAATTGTAAGATAAAAGTAATTTGCTTTTAATACTGACATTAACATAATTTTCAATTTCATTGTTTACCTTTTAAATTTCAGATTGTTCCTTATGTATTAGGAAGTATTTACATTATAAAACACAATGTCCTGCTTGTTTCACTGAAACTTTTGAGAAGGATTTAAGAAAAAATAAAGTCTTAGATGAAATTATAGCACAGTTTTCACAAATTAAAGATAAATTAAAAAGGTGTTTACAAATTCAGATTCAATTTGCACAATGTGACAAAATTGATAATGTTTCTAATACACCAAAATCATTGCATCAAAGTCAGAATGCACATGTAAATAAAGAAGAAAATAAAATTATTTGTAACACTTCTACTACTAAAATTAATTTATCACCATCTATAAATGTGCAAAAAGATGTATGTAGTCCTAGCACTAGTGGAAGACCCAAAATACCATTGATGTTTACACCTAAAAGTTATAAACGTCCAATTGTAACAAGTGCAGAAGATAGTAAGGTTGTTATATGTCCAGTATGTAAAGTTACTGTTTCAGAAACACATATAAATAGACATCTTGATGATTGTCTAAAAAGGGAATCAATAAAAGATATACAGCAAGTGTAAGAATAATAATATTTAAATTATTTTTGTATTGTGTACATATATAAATATTATATTAGTGAAGTATTTGATTAAAAAAATCACTAGTGTCAGCCAATATTAATTTTTATAGAGTAAAGTCAGACCGTAAACCATTACCAAAGTTAGTATTTACTTTAATGAAAGAGGTTGTGATAAAAAAGAAATTAAAAGAATTTGGTTTATCATCACATGGAGATCGAAGAGCTATGGAGGCTCGATTGCAAAGATATATTGTTCTTTATAATGCAGAATGTGATAAATCAAATCCAAGATCAATATCAGAATTAGTTAAACAATGTGAAGATGAAGAAAATCTAGAAAAAAAAATTAATAGAACTACTTTTTTAAACGTAAATATTTGTTATTTTACTCTAAATTGAATGATATTTAAATTACTTAAACTTCATAATCTCTTTTCAATTAAATTTATAAAACTATTAATAATTGCAGAAATTACAAATTACCAGAAATACAGAACAATATATTATAGATGATGAAAGAAAAAAGTATTGTAAGTTTGTTTTGTAATAATCAAATTTTCTTTTATATAATATGTGTAATGATTAACGATTGTTCTATTTTCATTAGTGGAAACACACAAAGATAGTTTCGAAAGTTTAATTAAACAGATCAAAAGTATTGATACTCCAAAAAAATCGTCAGTAAGACGTAGTTTATTGAAGGAAAACATAGAAAATAATGAGGATATTCCACATAAACGTCAAGCAGTGACTGAGAATTCGGATGATTCACTGATTGATACAAAACACAGTGACTTTCAGTCTCTAAATTCTGCGGTATATATTCAAGATTCTGATTCAGATACTTCCTGTCCACTGCAAATGTATTCTAGTACTGATCCAAAGAAATTTCTTAATGCTGAATTGTCTCCTAATAATAATGATTCACACAATAAATCTAAAATAAAATACGAGGAGCATAATGACATAGAAGAATTTAATTCATCTAATTTACATATGAAAATAAGTGAGACAGAGGAACATGATAGTTCAGATGCATTTAGTGATACATCCATTTCTAGTAAACAAACACAATCAATAATGGAAAACTCATTTTATAGAGACACACTAAAAGAAGATTGTAAAAATGTATCTAATACTTCAAAATATAAGAAATTATTACAGAAACAGAAAAACTTATCTCTGAAAAATGAAATGAAATGTGTGGATGCTGTTAGTACCAGCATGAAAGATTTTGATCCTAACAGTACTATAAATGAAGAGGAAGAAGAAGATGAGAAATCAATGTCTGTTTTACAGGATATTTTATGTGATTTATCAAGTAATGATAGTACTGATAGTAAATTGAAGTATGGTATGTAATCAGATTTTATCAAAAGTTTATCAGATTTGGTATTCTAAAATTACATAAAAGTTAAACATCTTTGGGAGAAAATGAGTATTTTATGGTATGATATTGATAAGCATTATTTTGTAGTAATACGAAATTATATGAGACAATAGCATTAAATTAAGAATAATAGAATATAATAAAACATATTGTAGTCATTATATTAATATATATTGGCAATTGACTAACACATAAAAAAATTTATGCAATAATTTTACAGGAAAATTTTACGGATTTGTAAATGATAGTGTAAACAAATCTTCAAATTTGGAAAAAGAAAATGTAAGTTCCAGCCCCGAACGCAGTGGAAATTATTCTGTTCGAAAAAGAACTCATGATTCAATGCAAAATGACAATAAATTCATATCAAGTATGAAAAAAAAAATTAAAAAATCATCATACTATCAAATTGAAACCAAAGAATCAAGTAAAGGAGAATCTTCAAGTACCTTAAACGATAAAGAAATGGATTGTTTGCAAGGTGAACCACAATTGAGAAAACGGTTACCCAAAAACGTAAAAGAAACAACTGTCGTAAGAAAATCTACTAGAATAAAGGTTAAAAATAATTAATGAAATTAAGATAACATTTTTTCGTACAGATCTTTTTAGCATATATTTTCACAATTTATATAATTTCTATTGCTTTATATTTCAATATTTATTTAACAATTTATATACATAAAGTTACAAAAGCGTATACTTGTAAATAGTTTAATTAAGGGAATAATATTTGTATTAATTTTCTATTCAATTAAATTTTGCCATATACGTCAGAATGTTGTATTTTAAATGTATTTAATTTTGACTCATTTTGCTTTAAGTAATAATGTATTAAACATAATAATGTTTAAAATGTAATTAAATAATGTGTTTATATTAAATTATTTTGTAGTTAACTTTATTGTGTATTAAACATTTAATTATAAATTATGTACACTTCGTTATTTTTTCTTTACTCTCGATTCTCCGATAATTGCACGGATTGATAATTAAAGTATTTCTTAAGTTAAAACTGCACATATAAAAAGAAAATGCATGGTTGATTTCTAAACTACATTAAAATTAATGCTTTTATCATACCTGTAGTCCGGTCTGCATTTTGGTAATGAGTAAGATAAGGAAATCAGTAGAAAGAAACAAGGATAGCAATACTACCGCGTGTTAGACAAAGAAAGGAATAGCGGTAAACAAGGATAGCAATAGTGTTATGTGTTAGACAAGGAAAGGAATAGGGATAGACAAGGACAGAAAAAAGTGTCGGGCGAGACTAACGCCATCTAACATTTAGGGATCTGGTGTACCATTTCTTAATAGGAGTACATGATATAAACAGAGGTATTAGACAAGGAAAGCACTAGTGTGCGAGAAGGACAGAGAGAAAACGCTTCCTATTGGCTGGCGGGCCGCTGAGCTCCGCGAATCAGGATCTAAATCGCGTCGGTCGATGAAAAATCATTAATAATTCAATAATTACGCTGATTTTGTGAACTTTTAAAATTGAAGAATGAAGTATGGACCTTCAGCAACATTCACAAATAGTTTTTAAAACTCTAAACCCTTTCAATAATTAGTTATTAACAATTTTAGTACGCGATGTCGGAAACGATACTGCATGCCGTCAAGTACCTTTGTAGTTTTTCAATAATTTCATATCTTTCTACTAAATTCTCGTTCAACTAACTGAACAGACCTGAAAGGCAACTCTTTTGGCTACATTCTCATATAACTTTTATTAACATATTCCGTTTAGTTTAGGAGTTATTAAACATTATTTGGGAGCGTCTTCTATTCATCGTATTCGTGTCTACTCGAATCTTGTAAACAATTGCTAATATTTATTAAACCACACCACTTACGGTTACCAAACTAATTGCAGAATATAGATAAAAGTCCATTCTACATTCTCCATTCTTAAAAGTGCATAATTAATCACGCATTTTTATAGAAATAACGAAAATATATTTCCTATTTCCTAAACGCTTCCTATTGGCTGGCGGGCCGCTGAGCTCCGCCAATCAGGATCTAAATCGCGTCGGTCGGTGAAAAATCATTAATAATTCAATAATTACGCTGATTTTGTGAACTTTTAGAATTGAAGAATGTAGTATGGACCTTCAACAACATTCACATATAGTTTTTAAAGTTCTAAACCCTTTCACTAATTAGTTATTAACAATTTTGGTACGCGATGTCGGAAACGATACTGCATTCCGTCAAGTATCTTTGTGGCTTTTCAATAATTTCATAGCCTTCTACTAAATTCTCGTTCAACTAACTGAACAGATCTGAAAGACAACTCTTTTGGCTGCATTCTCATGTAATTTTTATTAACATATTCCGTTTAGTTTAAAAGTTATTAACCATTTTTTGGGAGCGTCCCCTATTCATCGTACTCGTGTCGAGTCGAATCTTGTAAACAATTGCTAATATTTAATAAACCACACCACTTATGGTTATAAAAATTATTGAAGAATATAGATAAAAGTCCATTCTTCATTCTCCATACTTAGAAGTACATAATTAATCATGCATTTCTATTAAATTAACGAAAATATGTTACGCTTTAATACCCAGGTGTAATACAAGTGTAACACCTTTATGGTTTTTCAATAATTTCATAGCTTTCTACTAAGTTCCCATGAAACTAGCTATATGCGTTTGAAAAGTACCTCCTTTAGCTACATTCTTATATAAATTTTATTAACATATTTCATCTAGTTTAAGACTTATTAAACATTCTTTGGGAGAGTATTACATCCGTCGCATTCAATCGTAACATATTTTCGTTATTTTCATAAAAATGCGTGATTAATTATGCACTTTTAAGCATGGAGAATGTAGAATGGACTTTTATCTATATTCTGCAATTAGTTTGGTAACCGTAAGTGGTGTGGTTTAATAAATATTAGCAATTGTTTACAAGATTCGAGTAGACACGAATACGATAAATAGAAGACGCTCCCAAATAATGTTTAATAACTCCTAAACTAAACGGAATATGTTAATAAAAGTTATATGAGAATGTAGCCAAAAGAGTTGCCTTTCAGGTCTGTTCAGTTAGTTGAACGAGAATTTAGTAGAAAGCTATGAAATTATTGAAAAGCCACAAAGATACTTGACGGCATGCAGTATCGTTTCCGACATCGCGTACCAAAATTGTTAATAACTAATTAGTGAAAGGGTTTAGAGTTTTAAAAACTATCTGTGAATGTTGCTGAAGGTCCATACTTCATTCTTCAATTCTAAAAGTTCACAAAATCAGCGTAATTATTGAATTATTAATGATTTTTCACCGACCGACGCGATTTAGATCTTGATTCGCGGAGCTCAGCGGCCCGCCAGGAAATAGGAAACATATTTTCGTTATTTCTATAAAAATGCGTGATTAATTATGCACTTTTAAGCATGGAGAATGTAGAATGAACTTTTATCTATATTCTGCAATTAGTTTGGTAACCGTAAGTGGTGTGGTTTAATAAATATTAGCAATTGTTTACAAGATTCGAGTAGACACGAATACGATGAATAGAAGACGCTCCCAAATAATGTTTAATAACTCCTAAACTAAACGGAATATGTTAATAAAAGTTATATGAGAATGTAGCCAAAAGAGTTGCCTTTCAGGTCTGTTCAGTTAGTTGAACGAGAATTTAGTAGAAAGCTATGATATTATTGAAAAGCCACAAACATACTTGACGGCATGCAGTATCGTTTCCGACATCGCGTACCAAAATTGTTAATAACTAATTAGTGAAAGGGTTTAGAGCTTTAAAAATTATATGTGAATGTTGTTGAAGGTCTATACTTCATTTTTCAATTCTAAAAGTTCACAAAATCAGCGTAATTATTGAATTATTAATGATTTTTCACCGACCGACGCGATTTAGATCTTGATTCGCGGAGCTCAGCGGCCCGCCAGGAAATAGGAAACATATTTTCGTTATTTCTATAAAAATGCGTGATTAATTATGCACTTTTAAGCATGGAGAATGTAGAATGAACTTTTATCTATATTCTGCAATTAGTTTGGTAACCGTAAGTGGTGTGGTTCGCCCGACACTTTTTTCTGTCCTTGTCTATCCCTATTCCTTTCCTTGTCTAACACATAGCACTATTGGTATTCTTGTTTACCGCTATTTCTTTCTTTGTCTAACACGCGATACTATTGCTAAGCTTGTCTATTTTTGTTGTGCCGCGAGTCGCTTCCGAAAAAGCACAATGGTGCAAAGCGGTGCGTCATGAAATACTCATCATTGATGAGTATAAGTACTTTGTACTTCGTCTATGACCATACCTATTTATGTAAGTTAATAATATTCTTGGAAGAACATGAAACCATTTATCAAAGACACCAAATTTTATTGAATATGTTATATAATTTTAATCAGAAGGGAATCAACAATGGTAAAATGATGATAAACACATGAACTTTTACATTTTACCTTTGTATAGATATTAACAATAATATAAGAAGCCTAACTTAATGCTAAAATAGCCGTCTTTGACATTATTTACGCATGCACTATTGGTATTCTTATTTACCGCTATTTCTTTCTTTGTCTAACACGCGATACTATTGCTAAGCTTGTCTATCTTTGTTGTGCCGCGAGTCGCTCCCAAAAAGCACAATGGTGCAAAGCGGTGCGTCATGAAATACTCATCATTGATGAGTATAAGTACTTTGTACTTCGTCTATGACCATACCTATTTATGTAAGTTAATAATATTCTTGGAAGAACATGAAACCATTTATCAAAGACACCAAATTTTATTGAATATGTTATATAATTTTAATCAGAAGGGAATCAACAATGGTAAAATGATGATAAACACATGAACTTTTACATTTTACCTTTGTATAGATATTAACAATAATATAAGAAGCCTAACTTAATGCTAAAATAGCCGTCTTTGACATTATTTACGCATAAAATATTTGTCTTTCTTATGTAGTTTATTTCTCATACACTTTGGTATCATTTATACATTTAATTTTATGTACATTTTATGTATATATTTTCTAATAATATATCTTTTTTATTTAATAGAACTTTAAAAGCTTCTAACATTCTAATGGAACAACTATCACATTCATGAAACACTTTATTCTGAGTTTATTTGTTTTAATCTTCTATTGCAATTTTATGATTGTGATTTATTTATCATATTACATTTTATGTGTATATTATTTTTTTATGAATAAATATAAGCGCAGCATTTTTATAGGAATGAGTTTTTCTACAGCTTTTTAAGTGAGTTGCATTAACAATAACACGTCCTTCGTTAAATGTTATTAATATTACATAACATTAAATGTTATTCATATTTGGCAGTGTTTCTGAAACTATTTTTTGCGAAACCAGGATTTGAGTACTCCTGAATTTTATTTCTCTATAAATTTCTTTTTCATAAACATTGTATCTGAAAACGGTTTTTTTGTTCAAAATATAGTTTCAATTATTTTCTGTTCTATTATATGCAACTTTATTAAAAAACTACTCATATAACATAATTCAGTGGATAAACTATAACACTAAGTATATAATTTTTTCATTTGCATTTAAAAGTTGTCATGTAACATTTTTTTTTACATAATTTATTTTGTTTTATATTCCTTAACGTTTACGTTTCAAAAATAAATTTATTTTCAAAAATATGTTCACTGTTTTATTATTTTCTAACAAAATTGTAGGTTTAGATTTTAAGAGTTATTGTTGACATTTTATTCTACATTATCCATTACTTTATTCATTTAGATGATTAGTTTTGGTCTTTCATTATGAAGGTTACGCATAAAAAGTTTAAGAACCACTGCTGTATGGTATGGCATCACGCGAGGTAGTTACTCAACGTTTACTACACTCCTAAGTATACTACAAGCAGGTTTCGTTTTCCTGTGTATAGAAATTAATGATACTTTTGAAGATATAACAAAAAAACAACAAATGAATATTTTGTAATCTAATTAATTGTTATCATTCGCGAAAACATCAGAGTAATTAATTACATGAAATTTTATATTTTTAGTAGGTTTTTTTTTTT